ATTCTAAATTAGTCCTCTCCAATTTTAATGCACATATGCCACTGTTCTGCTCATGCCCGAATCACGTGATACAGGCGGTCACGTGATCCCCTCCGCAGCGTTCTGTCACAAAAACTGAAAGATTTTTCTTATCTTTATATTTCTTTCCATGTAAATTGATTTTTATGACAAGAATAGTTCATTTGACAGAAATGGTCAAATTTCGGCAACAGAATGGGTGGATAAGAACATCCTTTCCAAAAATAAGCATGGCTACCATCAAAACCTAAATCTTCTGTCTCGGGAGAGACGTTAAGTCAATGTGGATAGAGAATGGGTGCCTCCTTTTATCATATCTAAATGTTTAAAATCTAAAGTATCGATATCTTAGGTATTTAATAATTATATTATTATTGAAATATTCAACTATTCTTCAAAGTGTAAGTTGGACGTCTTTGATAGCAAATTGCTTAATTAAAAACACATATATTTTCAAACTTGCTTTAACTGGGCAACATAACAAGTATTATTTTTAACCATCTGCCTTCCTTCACTAAAACGATCAATCCAATCTTTGATTAAGTTTATAAGAAGTCATTTGTCTTAATAAACTATTGCAAAGGGATTTCTAAGATACACCATAAATTTTCAGTCGTTCGTTGAACGAATACGTTTGAGACAACCATTTTTCGTCACAAGTGACCTACATAGTGACGTCATATTCACATTGTGACGTCACAAACAAGGAGCAAAACTTTATTCAGCATAATCTATTTATAGAACTTGTATATGGCTATGTGTGCACCATTTTTTTTTCTAATATGAATTGTGATTTTGTAGATATAAAGATAGTTCGCGCACTTTTTGATCACCAATCGTAGGTGATTACATTACAAAATAGGAACAGGGCAAACACCAACCTCTAAAACATCCACGGTAGGATCAGATGCCATGCTGAAAAATCTGCTGAAAATTCAGTGAGTAAATAATGGTCTAGAATTTAGCTTTAAAAAACTCAGCTTTTGACCTTATTTATGAATTTTATTTGCAAACACGGTCATTTTGTCGACCATATTACTTAAGAAATGATGACTTTAGACGAGAATGTTAATAGAGTAAAGAGTAAGATTGATTTTTAGCAATTTAATATACTGATGACACAACGAGGTCCATATATTATCTTTTTTCAACTTAATTTTTTTTTAACGTAAAAAAATAATTTGCTTATCAATTTTGATTTGTAGAGGATAAGACGATATTTTTTATCGAGGAAACTGCTGTCTATGGTTTCAACACAAACACAAAAGATGATGAAGAAAAAATTAATCATTAGATAAAAATTTTAAGGTTCAAACAGAAATAAAAAAAAATTATTAATCTGTTTCGAAGAGTTCCCGTTTTTAGCTTATTCATGATTCGTTCTGTTTCGTGGATATTTGAGATTAGTCAATATTCCTGATCTTCACCTTTCACACAGAAACAAGAAAATATATCAATAGTGGTGAGTTTCCAATAACTGCCTGTCAAAAATGTTAATAAGCGCTTCATCTGCTAAATGTTATGCCTAAAATAGCATCAATATAATTGGAATCAAATTTTTTTTTTCAACTGCATATTGATGTAAATGTATTATTTTGTCAAAAAATGAACATTGTAGAAAAGTATTAAATTTCATACTGTACAGTAAGGTTTAAAGAAATAATATTTTCAAGTGGAAGATTTAAAACTGAAATGACAGTAGCAGTAAATTTTATGACCAAAAGAAATAAAGTTTTAATTGATTTTGAGAATGGTGTTTAAATTGTTAAAGTCATAATTTTAGTTAATTGACTTTTGAAGAAATGTTAATTTCAAATGTGTAGTTCTTCCTCGTTTTAGCAAATTACATGTGTCACAGTGTCTTTCTTTGTAAACTTTATATTTAAAAATATTTATACAATTCATAAAAAAATTATGCAATTTCTTTACCCTAAAAATATCTTTACCTACTTGGTATCGTATTTTCATACATAACATGTATAATTTTAACATATAATAAGGATCTGAAATATTTTTATAACCTTTGCTAAGTTAACAAACATTTGCTTTTGCAAAACATGGCTTTTGTGAGGAATACTTTTGAACGATATTGTAATTTTCGATTGAAAATTATAATTTCAGTACAGTTATGGATTCACAAAACTGCGATAACCATACTTTAAAATATGAAAAACACAGATAAACGGCCGAATCTCTTATTTGATTCACAGTTTTCTGTGAAACTTTTTCACTTAAAGTATTTACTTTTAGTTATATGATCGATTCAATGAACTATTAATCTATGCAAAGTTATTTTCATTTCAAGATTTTATTCTAATAGCAAGAAAAGTAAATTTGCTGTTATTTTAAAGCATTCTAACTGAAAATTTAAAAAAAAGTAGGCGCTGGCACGAAAAAGACCCTTCCCTGCTCAATGGCCCTCAGTGCCGAGTATAAGACAGAGATTTTTTTGCAGCTTTCTCCATATGGTGTCTCCATATGAATGAAAAAGTCTCGAGAGGGACATTTAAAAACAACATACAAACAAACCTGATAAATAAAATCGTGACCGTAGAAAATTGTCATAAGCTTTGATATAATTTTTTGGCCAGTAAAAAGGTCCAGTAAGAGATCTGAATGATATGTTTAGTTGCTTGTGTTTTGTTTAACATACATGTAACTTTGAGGTTTTTCACTTATTAATGACGCCACCATTTGCCAATGGAGTGCTGCAATTTTTATACTTCTACTCGGCTATTACGACCTTTGAGCAATGAGGGAACATTTTTGTGGCGACATCTTCTTTAGGACCTTGGTTTATGATACGGTTTCATCTGAAGGACTGGTTTCCACGTCCCGTAGTTACATAACCCGCGAAGATTAATAGCTTAATTATTACAATGTATTTATTATTATCATTATTTACTCAGCGGCCTCGGAGCAAACATTCATACAAATGCGCCGCGTGGTAAGCTCTGCAAAGATCATCTGAAAGTATCAATAATAAATACCCTTTTGAATTTTTTTCTGAATGACATATGGGGAACCAAACAGTGCTTTAACTCATAAGTCCACTGAAATAATACAAATAAGGTACAGAGCAAACGCGGAGCTCTAAAACTACTGAAGTGGGACCAGATGCTAAAGAGGAGTAAGCATCAGATGACAACCGGCGATATCCGCCGTGTGCTCCATGTCATGATCAGGCAAAAATTCTGTAGACAGTTCAATGTGTAAGAAGTAGAGCTTTTTAAAAAAGCTTACCGTCTTTTGCAACAATCTTAAACAGTAAACTGATCTACACCTATCAGGCCGTATAATTCTTTTGAGTTTCTTGATTTTGTATTTCTACATTAGCTTTTTACTGGCATTAGCCCTAGTGGTAACTTTCAGTCAAAAGTTAAGGGCAATGTTCAAGTTTTTGCGGACAAAAAGACAGACAAAAACTATGTACCCCCGAAACTTCGTTTACGGGGGCATAAAAAAAAAGATGCAATGCAAGGCTTTGAAGTGAAATTTCATCATTATAATTTTGATGAAGCTGTATCTCAAACTTCAGAATAAATTGACGACGGGGTACTCTGGAACTATTTAAGGTATTCCACAGCTCACACTTTGAGAAGTAAATTTTCATATTTACACATAAAACATAACCCCCTAAAAAGTCAAGGGGTCAGTGTTTACGTTTAGATGACCTGTATACGCCTTGATTGTAAATCAACCTGTATCGTAGTTTCAATCTCTATTATTTAAACAATAAAATGCTTTATTTGGTTGTTAGTACGGGAATGAATGTCGCAGCTGTTGCAGAAAAAATATGTAATTTTTTCTGCAATAGCTGCGGCATTCATCCCGTAGTAACAACCAAAAAAAGACATTTTATTGTTTATATCTGTTTAGATAATCATTTAATAGGATTAAAAAGATTAATTATTGCATTAATGATGCAAACGTCTTTGTACGTTTCATTGATGGACAGCCACTAATAAAGAAATCTGTACAGTTGACATGCTTAGTGTAGTTCATGCACTGATTAACGCAACATTGGGTTTTCTTAAGAAATAAAGGAGGGGATATTCAGTGTATGTAAATATATATATGGCAGTCAAAAGTCCGTTTCAAATTTGTCTTTCAATAAATCGTTCTAGATGTCCTTTGCCAAGCCTTTTTATTGTAATCCACTGTTTCTCGAAAATCAAAGACTTTAATTAGATACATTAACTTCTGGATTGAGTCATTGAACAGGAAAAAAACCAGTCTTCCGGATTCCCGAAGTCTTTGAGCTTAAAGAGGAGGTGCATGAAGCTGAGTCAGATGCCTTGTGGTACGAAAAGGACACTGAAAGAAAAACCTAGTGAATTTAACTAGTGTGCTTCGTAAAGCATTGGTCGTGATTAGTAAACTTTCAGGTAATTAGTACCTGGGGTTTTAAAAATTGCAAATCTACTAAAGGTAAATATACTATCCAATTAACTTGGTGATTGTATGGACAGTGAATCTACTAGTTTTCTTCGTGACATTAACATGATTAACTAGTTATTTTTTACAGTGGATGGGGGTGGCCACCTAAACGGTAATTAGTACATGGGGTTATAAAAATCCCACAAAAGGTCTTCCAATATTAAAGTAAAGTATACAGAGAGCAAGAAAGAATACCTTCAAACGTTGTATATGTTCTTAATTTAAACTAAGTAAACTTTAGTCTAAAGTTTAGGTACATGTAATATAATACAAGAAACTTGCCATACGTTGATAAACCAGGTAAAAAAAAAAGACTTCCTGTATTTTCTATTGACGAATTAGCTTTCATGTTTTCTCACGAAATTTTTTAAAATGCTTTAAAAACTATAAACATCTCATTGCAAGATTAATTTTCCTTAACAACAGAGATATTTTTGTCATTTATTTATTAATAAATGACCATTCAAATTCCAACCTTGCGTTTTCATTTGTGTCAAACAGAGCACGTACCGATATATCAAGTATCAATAAATAAACTCAAGTAACAAAAAAGAAAATATAAATTTATTCAGAAAATTGAGCATATTGCAGGACTAATTTGCTTGCGTAACTGATAAAAACAAAAATATCGTCAGACATAGAAATTAGAGGCATGCGTGTATTTCCTGTGAAGCATATGTAATCACAGTCTGCAATCGTCATTTAAATATCACTTCATTCATGTCTATCTGATTCATATTTATGACTAATTCATCGAATACTTATATTGTACACATTTACTGAATTAAATATATCTGTCATGACATCATATTTCAAATACATGTACTAGGACCACCTGAAAACCCAACATACATAAAATTTTGTTATCCCCACATGTTGCTATCTAATAGTTAATCACTGTTTTACGATTGAAAAAATAAATTTAAATTTAAAGTGGATCCCAAAAAATCTTACTTGAAATTTAATTTTCTTATATTTCATTTTCTCCAATTCTTTCAAATTGCTAGATTTCTTTTAATATTAAGAGTAATAGAGTAACTTGTATATTGAAATAATGTTTCTTCGCATATACAATGTAACATGAATTTCAAAAGTTATATTAATCAATGATTTAAGATTTTAATGTTTTAAACCTAAATATGATTTATGTACAGTTCAAAAATATCACAGTAATACTATTTCATTGTGTTCTATAGAACACTGTATACATGTACTTTCTTTGCTTAAGGAAGCTCAGATAATTATTATATCGCCATTCTGTTAGATAAGGGGGAGAATGGGCAATATTACACATTGATTCAATAACATACCCCCATTTAGTATCTCATCATAAAATTGTCACATCCGTACGTAAACAATTTACTAGTTAGTTATATAATTACTTAAAGACAGATGATACAAACAAAAAAATGGATGCCTGGATTGGTAATCTATACAGTATATTTTTTGGCCTAATATCATTGCAAATGATGCAAATAATAAATTTATAGAATATAAAGAAATTGTAAACCTTCTGTGATGTTCAAAAGTATGCCCTTTTGAAACCATCCTTATTAATCTATGCAAATATTTTTCACTTTAAATTCCATTTTTGTCCAAATTTGAATAAAAATTAAAAACTACGCGGTGAAAGTTATTCATTTTATTCATTTAAACATGACCCAAGTTGTTATTTTCAAATTCTTTGACAAAAGTTTGTTTGTATCATCTGTCCTTAAGTGTAGTGACTGTAGTTTAATACAATAAGCTGAGAATTGGGACATTTAGTCTATATACATCCGGAGACACGTTCAATGATTTAAACCTAAAAAAGAAACCACGTTCGTTTTTTTCCACTGTCTAGTTTAAGTATTCTAGCATTCCGTTTTAATTCCAGCAGCCATATTAATATTGTTGAAAATTTTTCTCTAGAATTCTCCTTATATATTCATATCGATTAAGAGTATACTGCAGTGACAGGGTGCTACTTAAAATGAAATGAGGAAATAAAGCCTAAGACAGTTTTAGTTGTAGTATATCATTTGATGTACCGTATCAACTAAAACAAGAGGCCCATGGGTCACATTGCCTACCCGAAGACATTGTACAAGAAAATACAGAAATCAGCTATTTTCAGGGGTCAAGATATACTATCTGAGAATGCTTCCTTGTACATATCACAAAATAGTCAGTTATAATTAATGTGTGTTGATAGGAATAGCACTAGCTTAAACGATAATCCTCAAGGAGTTCAATTTCACTTGATTTTAAAAGGAAAAATATAATTAATGTAACCATTTTCTGCATATACATTTTCTGCCAGATATAACAGATACTTATTGCTTTTCAGCCACGTAGCACGTTTTAAGAGAATATAGTTTGATTCAATAATTGCATCAAGAGTATCATGTATTAGAAGTTGATTTATCTTAAATATTGAAGCTAGTTCTTCGGGTTCTTGTTAAACAGTACATAAGATTTATACATACTGAGTGCGGAAAAAGTGTAAATGAAAGATTTGGCAGATTTTTGGACTAGATTTTTATTCAAGAAAACGGTCATATATTTATCATAAGTTCATATAATTATCACTTGTTTGGGAGAATTTTTGGATTCAATTAAAAAAGACATCAAAACTTATTTTTTTTTCTTTTTATTCTAGTTGACATTTTAGTTTCGGAGCAGGCCTTATTCGATTTTAAAATACCTTTGTTACTTTTCATTCTTTCATCTATAGATAGAAAAGATTTTGTAATTCTGTTATTATTTTCTATTTAAACAAAAAGCCCCCGAGTAATAAGTATAATTGATGTGCAAATTACTGTTATTTTGAAATGTTATTGGATGATTATTGTACTCGTATTGATTCCCTGTCACTGGACAGGAAGTAACAGATGTCAATATCACGATATTGATTAAACCGGATGTCTGAAATATATCCGATATTTTACCACATCCCTTACATTCCTCATGAAAATGTCAACTTATCATGTTTATTGCTCAAGTATGTGCACTAGAATTTGTTGCATCTTTGTACTTATGGATTCCCATGTCAATTTCGCATAATATGTTTTTTTTTTCTTTCTAAAATTTGTTCAGTATGCAACCTGTGCTTCTAGCATGACGAACAAAGTTGAACATAACTAGCTACAATAGTCATGATAATGTTGGCCTCTCTACTAGTTTTCTCTGATGTTTTCAGGATAAGGCTAAAATTCCACAGCATATGTGCAATAATGGTATTGGTGCAAATCTTGTTTTCGATACGAGCAAATGCAAGCAAATTAAATTGCTTTTGCATTGAACTATCTTCCAATAAAGATTGATTTTTTATTCATTATCAACAAAGTAGCCCATTGCCTCTTTCAGCAATCACGTCAGTTCTCACGTGTTTTACTGAAATTCAGAAAGACTTAAAATATTTTTAAGTACAAGATCTGTTCTCCTATACATCGAAAAACAGAGTATTCTGTGTGGAAAATATTTCTCATAGAGAGCGATACATGTACTAATGCTTAAAACAGGGGATTTCTTAAATAGATACGCTCCCGAGATCCTGAATTCCTAATGGCTATCCCAAAATAAAATTGAACAGGGTTAGAAATCATGGCGGTTAAATTACGCTCCCGAGATCCTGAATTCCTAATGGCTATCCCAAAATAAAATTGAACAGGGTTAGAAATCATGGCGGTTAAATTCAAGTCGTGATGTTGATATACACGAAAAATGACGGCATTTTTGGGGTTCAGGTAAGAATTGTTAACGCCAAAATCTATGCGGGATTGAATCACTCCCGCGTGAACCATTATGGAGATTCTACGTTTATTTAAGGATTTGAAGCCCCCACCACAACCCAAAGAAAAAAAAGAGAGGTGGGCGGGGTGTGGGGTCATTATTGGCTTATCTTATTGCAGATAAATAATTGTTGCTCTATCTTTTTTTTAGATTTTTAATTTGAGTTATTTTAATCAAATTTTATAAAATGTATTCAACTTTTTGTTTGTATTGTAGCATCTTTATTTATTTTTCTTTCAAACCTAAGATTTTTAAATTTCAAAACTCAGTTCTTTTTCTCTGTACTCTTTCGTATATAATATGCTTAACCGTTTCATTTCAACTAAAATTAGAAAAATGGCAAAAGATGCAGATATCATAAAAAAATAAAGCATTTCACCTACAAGATTTGACAAGCCACTTAACACCGATCTAACAGCCTAATATTTATCACTTTAAAGCTGCCCTAAGGTTTAAATTTTAAAATAACACAATCAAAAATGATATTGCCAATAAATAATCTATGAAAAATTCCATCACTCTCGTGGGATATGGGACATTTAAGGTGTGTAATTTCATAATCTGCCTATATAAATAAAATAAATAAGCATTAAAAAACACAGTATCTTAGGTACACATGGGTCATAGGTATTGCATGAATATAGGTGAACACCTCGCCATGGATACCGTACAACAATACATATAAAGCATTCACATAAGTTTGCGCATCATTCATCCGTATCATAAAAAATGTAAACAATTGAATCCCAACATACGCCAGTCATACATACACATGTAGCTATAATAAATAAATGCTTATCAACTCTTTCCTATTGTTTTGGAAGGATTTTTAGAGAGATTATTGGTCCTAGTGTCTTCCTCAATAGAAAACATTAAAGAGGCACTTTTAAAAATACCCAAATCTTTGATAAATTCTTTCCAACCGTAGAAGACTTCGCTTATACTGTTATATCCTCTACACGAAATAATCTCAGTAAAATTTTCACAGCCATGAAATGCGATCAAATCAGAATGGTATAGCGTCACATTTAGTTTATATGCCACTATTCCTAAGAAGACGTCATCTATTGCCATATGCTTGACGTATGGAAACACCTTGACAAACTTCTGCGCAATCTTCATACTCACAAAATAAGCACCTCCCGGGAAGTAAGGCGGGTAATAGGGATGAGGATAGTCCTCATAAGACATGAAATATTTACTTGTATTATGTCTATCGGGAGGAGAGTCGTTTATGTAGTATCCTAAATAAACGGAATCTGGATCCATCTGCTGGCCAAGGTAGCTAAATACGTTTTCGACATTAAAATGAAAATCGTCATCCTGATAAAGTATATGAGTAGCTATAGGGCAGTACTTAGTAGCCCACCTATATCCCATAACAGTCTTATAGGTCAGGTTCCTGTAGGAGTCTAGAAAGTCTTCTTGTACTATGTCTCTAAACATTGCGCTTTCTTTCGATAATTCGTCGTTGGTTTCATTAAATGAATATCCCAACAAGAATACTATTCGAACGCGTCTTCTCCATTTTTTGAATGATTTGTGCTTCGTTCGCCACCTAATAGTCTGTCGTAAATGAAAATTATCTCTTGAACTTTTAATCAAAATTAGGAGAAAGAATGGATTTTTCTTGTGTAGAATTTTCACATTGCATATATTATCCGGATTGGAAATATAATTAAATCCATGAATATTAATCGGTTCCAGATAAACAGGACGATTGGCTTCGATGTCTTCTAGTAACTTTGCAAAATCAGCTTCATGGGGATAGGAAAAATTATCCGGGGGTTTCATTGTTGTGGTGGTAATTTCCTCACGTGGAACTGCACACAAAGTCACATTTTTCACTAAAAATATCCGTATCACCTCAATCACGCTGACAATGATAGTAAAAAGAAGTCCATATTTCCAATATCTTCGTGAGTTTCTTAATGCCGACTTGATCCACCTATAAAACATGACACAGTTTTTTAATTCTTAAAAAAAATGAAAGGTTAAGTTTCTCATAAAATAAAATTCAATGTTAACAGAAACACACCTCATGAACTATTGAAATAGATGGACATTACAACGACACGGAAATTGATTGAACGATTCGTGCATACAAAATGTCTACTCCTGTTGACAAGGATTTACATTACATATAATACATAGATTGAGAAAGTAAAATATTTCCTTCTTAACCGTGTTTAATCAATACACATTGTACATGTACATGATGAAGTATATAAATGAAGTATACAACTGCCGCTATCACTTCTATGTAAGAGTAGGTGGGTAGTCTAGGTACCTACCTGCCTGTCTGTCTGTCTGTGGAAAATATACGCATTTTGTACATGTACATGTATAACGCACATCATTCAGACTGAGACTCTTTTTACCTTTTTTTCTCCAAATCTTAATGATATCTTTCAATGATTTAATCACAGCACACTACTGAGTCCTTATTACCGATGTCTACTCCACAACATGACGGAGACTATTGATTAAACACAGGTTCAGGTATTTCATTCATTTATTGTTTTTAAATTTTGGAATGTTTAAAAGAGGAACAGAGGTCTAGACAAACACCATACTGAATTGATGTAATTAAAGAACATGAAGCTGAAGTAAGGACTCCTAAACACATTGTTTCTAATTTGTTTTATTTCAAGGCCACCTGAACAGTTCTAACTCTTATCGCTGACATCAATCCACGCCCATTATTCTAATCCATCTCCCAGTAATGGCGGTAATTCAGAGCAATGGATGAAATGTATAACCAAATTGTTTACAAATAAAATTACAATTCTTTGAGGGGGTAACGTGATATGTCTGTCTTTTTAAAAAGAATTGTCCCATTATCGAATTGAACCAAATTGTTTATCTAGTCTATGAATAACATAAACTTAGCTCTGTGTTATACCTTTCAACGACACACAAGAACACGGCGTTCAAGCTGTATTACATGTTATCCCTATGGACCTGGTTTTGCACTTTAAAATGAACACGTATGTCGTGATATATTGCACTTGAGCGTGCCATAAGATACTTACATTGTAAGTATGCCCGAGTTTCTTGAACAAGACAGAAATTATTACGACAACACTCTGTACAGCTCTACTGCAGGTAACTATAACAGCGTCATTTTGTATTGATATATTAGGTATACTTGTGTGAATAAGCACCCGAAGCTTTCTTAGACCCTTAATCTTTTCTTCAAGCTGTCCAACTTATCGAACTCTTCCACAAGGCAAAGGGTGATTGCCTTTTACATGTATATCATATAATAATGGGTAGACAAGCCAATAAAGAGACCATATTGCACGCAATATAACGTCGGAGAGCATTTGCAATCATCTGGACCACACGTTATATTTGGCTTAAAACTTTAACGTCATTTCTGTTATCGTCTGACTAATCTTTAACACGGATATGAAACCACTCAACATGCGTTTTGAGGATCGACCCAAAATTTACTGTCGAGTAGCTGAAGGCCACAAGGGGAAAAATGCTACATGCTACACATGGAATTCAGACTCAACTCTGTAAACGCCCACATACAAAGACAAAGATGATCAGCTACACTCAAATGAATAAAAAATGTATTTTGAAAAATTAAGGTCATAGTAATGAAGACAAGGACATATACCTCCCCATCGTACCTCCTCGGTGATTTTCATTTAAACGTAAAGTGCATTTCATCAATGGTGTAATAACCAGGCCTAACTAATGTTATACATGTATTCTCCATGTGAAATTTTACTCCAGCCCTCCTATATCGCTTATATCGAACACCTTTAATCCATTATAGTATGTAGCAGTTTAGTCAGATTGAGACAGAGTTTGTGTTTCAGTAATAAATCAGGTCCACTTGTAATATCTACTATCAAGGATATATTTATCATGTGATGTACAGGTATTTTCCACACGCAGTAGAGATCACATTATTATCCATCAGAATCACACGCTTGATCTCGGTATAACAGTTACTCTGCTCATCCCGCCAAGCCGCACTGACACCTTGCCGAAATCATTGTCCTGTACGTTAAACAAATGTAATCCTACACCAAATCAGATCATCAGTTCCCTCCATTAGTCCCGAGAACATAGTTCATCGACATAGTAATGTGTTTGCGTACGAACGCGGAAGTTGAGAAAATAAGTGAAAACTACAATTTTTTCCTGTTACGAAGGACACAGCCAATCAGTTTAAATATTTGAATTATGTACAATGGCCACAGAAATTGATTTTGCTACTCGGGCCTAACCCTATGGATTATCGTTACCTCTGGACAAATTTAATAACCTGATAAAGGTGGGTTCCCTCCTCATGTAAAATGTCAGTCAATTCAAGGAGATCACATGCAGTGAGCTAAGTCCCCGAGTATATTAACAGCTGACACGTGGAACATGCTGTGCGATGTCTATATTATTTATTTTATTGTCCCAAGGCCAATGAAGTAGTCCACAGTGTAGCAAGCTTCTCTTTTGAATACGTATGTGATTCAAAGGCGTGTCAGGTGGAGTTTGAGAAATGAACTCAAAAGAGATAATAAAATTTTTTACTATCGACATGTACTTTTGTATTTTGAATTTAAAAATGTGACTATACATATATGGACCAATAAAGTAATGCTCACTGAACATTTTGCAATAGCTGCAGATCTGAATCGTTATATTTTTACAGTTTAGTCTTTGACCATGCATAACAAATTTTAATTTATAAAACCAAAACGCTTCAGTTCTGCAGCTACATTTTGCAACAGCTTAGCTGACAAGACAGAATAGAGTTGACTTTATAGATCCCAAATAGTAACACCTGTATATATAGCAATGTCTTAATGCAGCATATATATTCTAATAAAATAAATAATATATATAAAAAAATTAATAAATGTTTTTTAAAAACAAATAATGTAGGGAAAAAAAGTTTAAGTTAATTAATGATTTTCAAAATTATACCTCATTGCCTCCAAAGCTTTTTGCCAACATTTGTCGAGGATCTAACAAGCACCTAGCAACGACAGGGAACAGGCAGTTACCAATCCTCTAAAACAGAATAAGTCATGTCTAAATATAGACCCTAAGTTGAGATAACATACCCTTTTGTCTTATAAATTAAACAAATTAAACAGATGAACTTACCCCCTTTAAAACAATTTACTGATACATGTACATGTACCTCTAATAAATAAAGTTCACATTTTATCAATTAAAATAGGTTTTAAATTTATGAAAATATTGGGAAACTCAGAGATAACTGACAAAAATGAAAGGTTTATGTTTGAAACGCCTACCAAAGTTTTAAAAAACGAGTACGCCTGTCCACATCTTTCCTTGTGAAAACGTTATTCCTGTACAGACAAGCTTGAATATTTCTTTTTTTAAGGAATGTGGCAGATACCTAGATTTTTTCCTCAACACAACCCTTCTCTTAGACTAAGTTTATTTACACATATATAGAGTCTTTTCAATAAAAATCCTTAAAATATGTTAAATTAATATTAAAACCAAAACAGATAATTTTATTGTACTATAAAATCATGCACTATCAATATTGTGTCAATGATGACGAGACGTTGCCATGACGACAAGCATTTTCACGACACAGTACTATAGGGGTCAGGATACTAGTACTAGTTCCCTCCCTTCAAATTTATTCACCTAATCATAAACGCATAAAATATTATGAAAAATAAGTAGACAAGCCTTGAGATTTGGATGGGCTGAGGTGGATTTCGGGCCTAAGCACTTGTAGATACTTTGGTGATCTGCAGGTTGAGATAAGTTTGAACAGAATGAAGGAAAGAGGAGAGATAGGTTCTGTAACGTGGATTGGCTGGATATGAAACCTCAACTTCACAATTACTCGCAATGGCAATTTCATTAATTCCTACACTGTGTGAAATACAGCTAGAATTGAATCCCCGTTTTAGTTTAAAAGAAAAATCGACAGATAAAAGGAAGAATTTTACAGTAACGTGCAATAAGCATTCTGCTTATGGTTGCTTATTGGAACATCAAATATTGTCCAAGATCGAATGAAACGTGTCGTTACATGTGCATATGAATGTATTCGTGTACAGAGTGAAAACTTTTACATCTCTGTCAGAGGGTAATTCTAAAACACCATTAAAGCACATCCGTTATTGTTGCACATTTTAACATATTTGACAAGTAACTTGATACTGAGTAATTTTGCGGTGTGCCTTTCTCAAAACATTCTGGTCTACAAAAAATCATTTTAAGACCCCCACCCCCCACACAAACACACAAAAACATGACTGTAAAGACACAAAATTAGCATTCCTAGTGCGAAAAAGAACCAAATATGAGCAATTATAGTATATATATAAAGTAGACTATATCCGCTTCAAGCGATCTCATCCGAGTGCTTTAATTACCCTGTGTAATACAATATTTAAATCTATATATCACGTTATCTGTTACCTTAATTATCATATAGAATTATAGCTAAAATTTATTGCCTGAATAAGGATAGACCGTATGTAACATTAAACTTAAACTGCAGAAAAATTTCGATAGTCACAACGCTGCGTTTTATGAGGAGTATGTAAAGTGATTCAAATGTCACCTACTAAGTTCAATTTTTAATTAAAGTCTATTTAGAGATGTAAAAAAAAAAAACCAGACTTAAAAAAATATATAGAAAATTTAAAAAACATTTTGAGCCAATTGTTGTCAATTTAATTTACCACTTGAGTGCCAATTTGATGTTTTTGATAAAAATGTAGTATTTATCGACCTTACTATATGGCTCTGAAATATGGGGACGATTTTCTGCACTTGAAATATTTAAAGCATGTAGTTTTAGGCCAGCCTACATGATCTATATTGAAACAGATCGCTTCCCTCTGTATATCTCATATACATGTATTGTAGAATGGTTTCTTATTGTGTTAAGCTTTTTCAGGCCCGCAAAACAAAATTTGAAATGTTTTATACAAACATAGGTTTAAACTGTACTGTAATGAAAATTTAATACACCAATTGTTAGATTGCATACAGAAAATATATATGTTTATCAAACGTAAACGGGTGATAGTATGAAACACATGGATTAACGCTCTGTAAAACAGATATCACACGATCATTTTATTCAAAAAAGTGGTCTAGAGACGAAAATTATTCAAGGGAACGATTTATAGAATCAGATCTCTGAATTAGAAAATTATATCGATAAGTCACCTCCCAAATTTTGAAATAATATTTATAAAAATTCGTACTGTGAATAATCATTTACCAATATAGAGACTGGAAGATGGTATGGTATACCACTGTGTGCTAGAATCTGTAAACTTTGTAACAATACTCAAACTGCTGATGAATTTCATTATATCTTATATTAGAATGTAAAACTTAAGCTAATGTAAAAAAAAATGTATATGATTTATGTACATAGAATAATAAAGGCAGGATTACAGTCCTCTATAATGCCTCAATTCTCATTATGATAATGTGGAAGGATGAAAAGCAGGGCGAGCAGACCGGATATTGTTGTATCAGGTCCGTGATACCCGGATGTGACGCAGGAATTATAACGTCAGGCGTACCATATACGTCAACGGAGTATATTCATAAGATTATAATGAACTTTTACGAGAAGCACTGACTTTTACAGTTGATGGCTTACTTGTACACTGGGACAATGTATTAAAGCTCTTTTACGATATAAATATTTAGCTCGACGTTTAATTCAATGAGTATAACAGATTTTTTAAATGCACATAAATTTGTATAAGTTGTCTTTGAAGGAAACGACAATCACTCTACCCTAAACTCCCGGCCCAAGTGCCCCTAACACCATACCTGTGACCATTTCATAGGCTTTCTTATCCATTATCAATTCTGTACCTCATATGTATATGACACAGGTTTAAAAGTTCAAGTTGATCGTCAACTGCAAAAGTCACGCGAACTTTTTGAATATTCCAAATTTACATAAAATTTACTTAAATCTTACTTAAATCTTTATGTAAATCTTTTCTTCATTGTTTTTCCTTTTAATTTTTAAAATATTTTCTGCATTGCACATGTTTTAGTTTATTTGAGAAGAGTGTTTATCCGACCTAAAAAGATCGAAGATTAAGTGAGAAGGGTGAGAAGAAAATGATGATTTGGTCTTTCATTATTAATTAATGAGCGGATATAAGGATAGAACACACTGGTTATTATGTTGAAATAATGCATCACGTACACGACTGTACACCATGTCCGGAAGCAAGACAGCCTTCGATTTCCTACCTCTTGTCTGCATCTACTGTTATCACTATGTTAAATATAACTCACAAAGGAAGTATAATGCTCATGAATTCTGATTCATAAAGAGAACAACAGATAAAATATTGGACGTAAATTAATTTCATTGCATTTTTGTACTCAAAAAATTCTTTTATCGTTATAAACTGCAACTTCTGAAGGTATTTTTGACACTAAATATTATTTTTGAGAACAGTGAACAAAGATCGGTTTTAACCTAGTTACAAAAATTGGCGTAATTTTTTTAAACAGAAGTTTAATTCTAAACCTTTAGAAAATTCAAATAACTAATGCACTCATTTAAAAGTAGTAAAATAAACTGCTAAATCAATAAAATATTTCGCAATTCTCTAGGTTACACAGTATTTATTTATAAGTTCATGTTACAAAAATCAAACACTATGCGTCAAATTTATATGGAAATTAGATATATTTAATCAGTTCAATTGTTGAAATAGTTCCTCCATTTTTTTTTGATTTTGGAATTAATTCGATTCCTAAGTTGTACAGGGCTGTTATTCAAATTTATTTTCTAAACTTTGAATTTAACAGAGGATATACAAAGTTGGCATATTAGGAGACTACTAATACGTGTATCTGCTCCTTGATTTTCTACATTTCAGGATCCCCTAGTCAGTGGAAAAAAGGGGTTGGGGTTTGCATGGAAGGGGTGTGAGAAAAGTTATATAGCATAATAAAGGACATTGAAAACAACGAAGTACTGATAAACGATACGCTGTGTGCCTTTTCAAAAAGGAAAAGATACATGTACATGTACTAAAGCTTGGTCTTACATGTATATATTGTTAAGAATACTTGATTAATTACAAATAATGTCATACAGTGCAGATTGCAAATCCATATTATTATTATTTTAATCAAATGGTGGAATAGCAAAAATAAATAAACCAAAATAAGGACTGATAAAAGGACGTAAGAAGAAGGTCATGTATGAACGGCTAAAATTTCTAATCGATCGTCTAAAAGTTAAGACACAGTTACAGGTTAAATTTCATATCGATGAATGTCAAGCTGATAAGTCTGAGGGTAATTACCCAGGCAGCTCTGTTCATCGCTTGTATCAGTTTTTTAAATCTTAAGGTTTGGACGACACGTTTCTCAAATATCTACTTTGTAACTCTTCGAAGTACATCAAAATATTCATAATTGCCGTTATCGTGTGACTTCAAAACTGTTCTCACAATGCCTTGAGTAATATACAGCTGTACGTATGTAATTGCACCCAAGATCGTGTTATTGGCATTTCTAGCGATTTCTATATATTAGGCATGGTTAAAAACACTGTCCTCATTAAGATATCATTTCACAAATGTCTGGTTAGGTACTTCGTTTTTTTGTACTTTTTAGTACAAATGACAAATACTTTTGAAAAATATAAATATATAGTAGTATATCTGAGGAACTTCTAACCTTTATTTGAAACAAGGCATTTATGCTTGATGCATTAGGCCTAGGATCAATGAATGTTAGACTTCACGATAAACAAGTATGATGTCGAAAGTAATATGAATATAAATATTCAAGAAAAATTTCCAATCTTCAAAATAATTAAGATGAAATGAATGAATGCACTAATTGATTAATTATTTACTTAGAAAATAAATTAGTCCAAATTACTTTTTGGCATATCAAGAAATCTACTAGTACTGAACGTTTTCTTATAATTAAAAGCGCTCTTTTGAAAACTTTGTCCTAAAATCAAGACCAATAAAACATTCATTTATCTTGACACAGGATATTCATCAATTTGCAAAAAATACGCAACTGTTCAATGTCACTTTATATTTCATTTTCACACGTCTGATTGAAAATCAAACCTATTTTAAAAAAATGCCGTTTTGACACTCTATCAATTAAGACGCATTCAAAGGGATTGGATTACAAACAGATGGTGTACAGAAATCGACACTATATAGATTACTTGTAGAAATCAGGTCTGGAGAATAAATAGCTTTCTTTAAATAATTATTCTTGAAGTTTAAATTCACTTGTAGAGGCCTTTGCAGGTCTACCCATTCTGTACTTGTATAGAATCATTATAATCTTTAAGCTAAAAATAATCATGATCATCCTCTGTCTTTACGGAATCATAAGTATCCTCTGTCTGCAGTACAGAATCATTATCATCCTTTGTCTATACAGAATCATTATCATCCTCTGTCTGTACAGAATCATTATCATCCTCTGTCTACACAGAATCCTGATCATCCTCTGTCTGTACATAATCATTATCATCCTTTGTCTATACAGAATCATTATCATCATCTGTCTGTACAGAATCCTGATCATCCTCTGTCTGTACATAATCATTATCATCCTTTGTCTATACAGAATCATTATCATCATCTGTCTGTACAAAATCATTATCATCCACTGTCTTTACAGAATCATTTTCATCCTCTGTCTATACAGAATCATTATCATCCTCTATACAGAATCATTATCATCCTCTGTCTATACGGAATCATTATCATCCTCTGTCTGTACAGAATCATTATCATCCTCTGTCTGTAGAGAATCATTATCATCCTCTCTCTGTACAAAATCATTATCATCCTCTGTCTATACAGAATCATCCTCTATACAGAATCATTATCATCCTCTGTCTATACAGAACTATTATCATCCTCTGTCTGTACAGAATCATTATCATCCTCTGTCTATACAGAATCATTATCACCCTGTGTCGATACAGAATCATTATCATCCTCTGTCTGTACAGAATCATTATCATCCACTGTCTATACAGAATCATTATCATCCTCTGTCTATACAGAATCATTATCATCCTCTGTCTATACAGAGTCATTATCATCCTCTGTCTATACAGAATCATTATCATCATCTGTCTGTACAGAATCATTATCACCCTGTGTCTGTACAGAATCATTATCATCCTGTGTCTGTACAGAATCATTATCATCCTCTGTCTGTACAGAATCATTATCCTCCTCTGTACAGAATCATTATCATCCTCTGTACAGAATCATTATCATCCTTTGTCTATACAGAATCATTATCATTCTCTGTCTGTACAGAATCATTATCATCCTCTGTCTATACAGAATCATTATCATCCTCTGTCTGTACAGAATCATGATCATACTCTGTCTACACAGAATCATTATCATCCTCTGTCTGTACAGAATCATTATCATCCTCTGTACAAAATCATTATCATCCTCTGTACAGAATCATTATCATCCTCTGTCTATACAGAATCATTATCACCCTGTGTCGATACAGAATCATTATCATCCTCTTTCTGTACAGAATCATTATCATCCTCTGTCTGTACAGAATCATTATCATCCTCTGTCTATACAGAATCATTATCATCCTCTGTCTATACAGAATCATTAATATCCTCTGTCTATACAGAGTCATTATCATCCTCTGTCTATACAGAATCATTATCATCCTCTGTCTGTACAGAATCATTATCACCCTGTGTCTGTACAGAATAATTATCATCCTGTGTCTGTACAGAATCATTATCATCCTCTGTCTGTACAGAATCATTATCATCCTCTGTACAGAATCATTATCATCCTCTGTACAGAATCATTATCATCCTTTGTCTAAACAGAATCATTATCATTCTCTGTCTGTACAGAATCATTATTATCCTCTGTCTATACAGAATCATTATCATCCTCTGTCTGTACAGAATCATGATCATCCTCTGTCTATACAGAATCATGATCATCCTCTGTCTGTACAGAACCATTATCATCCTCTGTACAGAACCATTATCACCCTATGTCGGTACAGAATCATTATCATCATCTGTCTGTACAGAATCATTATCATCCTCTGTCTGTACAGAATCATTATCACCCTGTGTCTGTACAGAATCATTATCATCCTCTGTCTACACAGAATCAAGATCATCCTCTGTCTGTACAGAATCATTATCATCCTTTGCCTATACAGAATCATTATCATTTTCTGTCTGTACAGAATCATTATCATCCTCTGTCTGTACAAAATCATTATAATCCTCTTTCTGTATAGAATCATTATAATCCTCTTTCTGTATAGAATCATTATCATCCTCTGTCTGTACAGAATCATTATCATCCTCTGTACAGAATCATTATCATCCTCTGTCTATACAGAATCATTATCATCCTCTGTCTATACAGAATCATTATCATCCTCTGTACAGAATCATTATCATCCTCTGTCTGTACAGAATCATTATCATCCTCTGTCTACACAGAATCATTATCATCCTCTGTCTGTACAGAATCATTATCATCCTCTGTCTGTACAGAATCATTACTATCCTCTGTCTACACAGAATCATTATCATCCTCTATCTATACAGAATCATTATCATCCTCTGTCTATACAGAATCATTAGCATCCTCTGTCTGTACAGAATCATTATCATCCTCTGTCTACACAGAATCATTATCATCCTCTGTACAGAATCATTATCATCATCTGTCTGTACAGAATCATTATCATCCTTTGTCTACACAGAATCATTATCATCCTCTGTCTGTACAGAATCATTATCATCCTCTGTCTGTACAGAATCATTATCATCCTCTGTCTGTACAGAATCATTATCACCCTCTGTCTGTACAAAATCATTATCATCCTCTGTCTATACAGAATCATTATCACCCTCTGCCTGTACAGAATCATGATCATCCTCTGTCTGTACAGAATCATTATCATCCTCTGTCTATACAGAATCATTATCATCCTCTGTCTGTACAGAATCATTATCATCCTCTATACTGAATCATTATCATCCTCTGTCTGTACAGGATCATTATTATCCTCTGTCTATACAAAATCATTATCATCCTCTGTCTGTACAGAATCATTATCATCCTCTGTCTATACAGAATCACGATCATTCTCTGTCTATACAGAATCATTATTATCCTCTGTCTATACAGAATCATTATCATCCTCTGTCTGTACAGAATCATTATCATCCTCTGTCTATACAGAATCATTATCATCCTCTGTCTATACAGAATCATTATCATCCTCTGTCTATACAGAATCATTATCATCCTCTGTCTGTACAGAATCATTATCATCCTCTGTCTGTACAGAATCATTATCATCCTCTGTCTATACAGAATCACGATCATTCTCTGTCTATACAGAATCATTATTATCGTCTGTCTATACAGAATCATTATCATCCTCTGTACAGAGTCATTATCATCCTCTGTCTATATAGAATCATTATCCTCCTCTGTCTGTACAGAATCATGATCATCCTCTGTCTGTACAGAATCATTATCCTCCTCTGTCTGTACAGAATCATTATCATCCTCTGTCTATACAGAATCATTATCATCCTCTATTTGTACAGAATCATTATCTGCTCTAGAGTCGCGAAGTAAGGAGTTAATCCTTACGTCGCGGGATCGAATCACACCGTGGGACGTGGAGACCGGTCCTTCGGATATGACCGTATTTAACAGAGGTCCCCTGTCGCAGTAGGTGCTTATGAAAAAGACCCCTTACTGTCTAAAGGTCATAAGTGCCGAGAATAGGAAAAATTTGCAGTTCTCCCCGGCAAGTATGATTGAAAAATTCTCGAGAGGTACGTTAAACAACAAACATAAAAACACTTTCTCTCTGAGATTTTATTGTACGAATATCCCCAATTACGAGTGAATTTTATCAATTTATAAAGAAATGACTTGCTTACTCAATTGATTGTATCAAGATTCAAAATTTACATAGATAGAAAGCATTTTTTCAAATTGTCTTTAAAATATGTCTTAGTCAAACTTTCTACTTTCAAAGACAACTTGTCATAACAAAGAAGTTTAAAAAGGTTCTCGGGGGAAAATACTTTTAAAAGGTTTTAAAAACATTATTTCGTTCATTTTAATTTGTTTAATATCAACAGAGAGATTGTTTTGTAAGGTTATTCACAGCCAATCTTACAATTGTCTTTAAAATAAAGTGCATTTATAGATTATTTCAAAAAGACGTTTAAAGCCATTCCAACGCAATATACATAGTGAAAAACAGAACAGGTCCATTTTGCTAATATAAAGTACATTTCAGAGGTAAAGCAGTTAAATTTATTTCCTTGAAAATTGTTTTCTTATCAGATATAATAACTTTAAGTTTATTCATTTCAAAATATTTACATTTGCTGTGTTTCACTATTAAGCCAACAGTGAAATTGATTTGAAAACCATTTTTGTGTATATTCACGCGTAGAAATATACACGGAGAAACGTGTGCTAAAGTGACGTCACAATGAGGCCACAGCGACATTAGAAAAATGCATCAAAATAGGACGGCGAAAAATTCAAATTTTGAGTTTATTATTCATGCTTTAAGACATGGAACATGTAAATATGAGGAATGTCTTTAAGTTTAGTTTGAATTATTGATGTGTGAATCACACACACTTGCACGTAGGCTTAGGAGGATTTTACCCTTACTTTGGACTTTCAGTAGGCGTGACTTTCTCGGCGCTACGTAATAGCGAATACTAGTAGATTCAGGCACGTAGCATCGTTTCTAAAAGTGGGGGGCCAACCAGAGAAATTTTTTTTTACTTACCTGAAAAAGTTGACAAGCAAAAAAAAAAAAAAAAATTAAAAGTCTGCTCAAAAACTTTGCACAAACTCGAAAATCCTATTTCGTGGGTAGGGGGGGGGGGGGGGGGTTGTGGCCAACTTTTTCAAAGCCGACTTACTATCACTTCCAGTTTTTCCCTACAATCCTTGATATCACAATCCTATAGTCAAAAGTGGAAGGGCCAACCATCCTTTCAATGAACATTTACTATAGTAAAGGTAATGTTGGGGGAAAAAGTGGGGGGGGGGGGGGCAGGCCCCCCCTCCCCCCCGGTTGCTACGTCCCTGAGATTCTCATTGGTTACGAAATTAATAACATCAGGAACTTAAAATTGTTGTTGATAAAGATGAGACGACTTATGCCCCACCTCTGTGCCTTGAGAGAACTTTTAATTAGCTATTTACTACACCAGTTGACATTCGCCCGCATTTCTATCTATGTATATTTCAACAGTGATGGGAAGCTGTGTAAATTTCAGAAGCTAATTAGGTAACGTCGAGAATGCCACGCCTTACTGAAAGTCCAAACTCAGCGTGTAATGGTAATATTTTTCATGAAGCGCTAGCTACGTGACAAGTCTGTGTCATTCACACACCAATAACTCACACAAAACTTAAAAACAATCCTTAATTGTAAATTAAATCACTCTGCAATAAACATAGAAAACTTAAATAAAGAATGACAGTTTTAGGTCAATGACTCTTGTCTTTGTGTTTCTGTACTTGAGGTTTCAAAATTAAATAAATATTTATTTTATGCCCTACTGTTAAACTACACTGCTAATGAAATAAAAATATCCCACGAGCAGTGATTACACACAAAAATGTCTTAAGGTAGATTCTTCTCATATTTCCTGTATTAAAAAATAAATGAAATTTTCACAGAACCAAGGAGACAATATCACTAAATGAGGTATCAGTGAGATTAAATTTGACCGTTTTATATTAGAAGCAAGGTCAGGTCAAGATCATGACCTTTTTCCAGGAAATTAATGATAAAAAATTACTGTTGCCAATTATATGATCCCTTTTTGTATTTCAAAAGATTGAATGTTTTTCTTTTTTTCCTTAAAAGATTCTTCCATAAATGGCCTACAAGATGATATTACCACATTGACATAAACGATTCAAATAGAATGGATATTGGCTAATCCGAATTTTCTCTACTTTTCTTAAATTTTTAGGATATAATAGTTATTTTTATATGCTTTCTATATTCAAATTTTTCTCATTTTCACATATGGTAAAGTTGTCACAATAAGATACAAAATGATACCAAAACAAAAAGTTTTGATCGTTTACTAAGAGAGAAAAAATACATTTTTATGGATTTTTGGCTCAAATCTGCACTCAGTAGTTTGTTTGAAAAATCATAACTATTTGATACATTTAGGAACTTTAGTCCCTAATTATTAATTAAACTTACATTTGAAAATTTCTTTAAGTCTTGGATTGTATAAAAATTATAACTAAATTCATTACTCTGTAATAATTTTGAGAGGCAGAAAAGAAGATATTTTCATACGCCACCATTCCGCCAAAAATATAGTCCCTGCTAGTTTTCAAACGCGGTTTACCATTTCTATTTAAAGTTGCACAATTGTGATGAGGAAAGAAAAATATGGTCTTTTAAATCTCTTGCATCTAAATATATAAAACATATAGGCAAATATACTTTGAATATTTCATCTAGTCCGAAACCAGAGAAGAATCTTCAGCTTACTCCAAAGGAAACTCTTATAAACATATAAGAATCCATTTTATAGAAGAACATATTTTCAAGTCAAATAATTTGTATTATCAGAACTTTCGTTTTCATTTTATACAGCGTGCTGTTTAATAATTTGGGAAATTATTAGGAAATTTAATTACTGCAGATATTTATTATGCATATAAGATTTTCCCCAATTTTAATTTTAAACTTTGCTGTAATTGTTTTGAATATCAATATGATTCGTCATGGGCACTAAATTAATGCAGAAATATACGGCATTAAAGCCATGGTGGAAAGAAAGGAATAATTAATTATATACAATAATATTAATACAACATAGTTCTATCTCGACTTCTATCCGTATCTTCATCAATTTGATTTTCTCTTTAAATCTGTACACGTAGAACTGCTAATGTTCACTGTTTCTATACCCATTTTCCCAATATTTTGCTAAAATTTTGATTGCCTGAGTATCACGCGATCAATGCAATAAAGGCATTTAGCTTTTCAAATCGCTATTATCTTTTTGTGGTCGTTAGATGAAACATATGGAGATAACGAACAGTATTCAAGATTGAACGTCCATAAAACAGGAATAGGAGTAGAGCAAACACGGACCTCCAAAACATCAGAGGTAAGATCATGTGTCATGTATAAGTGAGCATCTCCTGCCGACCGGTCACACCCGCCGTGTGTTCCTTGTCATGATCGGGAAATAACGGAAAAATTTGTCGTCAATTCAGTGTATAAATAATGGACTAACAATATGTATGAAAAACGTCAGTCAGCATCTGACTCAATGTAAAATTGTATTTGTTGACAAGGTCATTGTATCGACCATAGAACTTACGAAACGATGACTTTAAAGAGACTGTTAATATTTTTGTTCCATCAACTTGTTTGTCAATAATTTACCTCGTTTTAGAAATTGTTACTCTTGCGTATTGAATCAACTGAGATATATAATCTCTGTATGCAGGTGATGAAAGTATATTGCTGCATAAGTAAGGGAAATTGACGATAGAAAGGTTAAAGTCATTACGTTTATCATAGAGCCTGGTTGTTAGATTATCATTAACGTCTTTTTCAAGTAAAATATCCAAATATGAAACAGATATATCAGACTCTGTAATATATTTATCTCAAGCTCACCAGGATATCTAGTATCAACATAAGAATGGAAATTACCATTGTTAATTCACAATACGTCGTCGATATATCTAAATGTTGAGATGAAGGCCACAACAAGTGTTTTTTTTTCTTTCCACGCATTTGATTTTGCACAAAGTCTGCTTCATATGAATACAAAAGTAGGTCTGCTAATAACTGGGCTTAATTGGTACCAATAGGAATACCAGAAGATTGTTGGAAGCCCTGGTCTCCAAAAACAACATAGATATTGTCAATCAGAAACTCAAGCATCTTTTTGATGTCAACTTCTGAGCACTTGTGCGTACAATCAGAATGTTTTTAACAAAATAATTACGCAAATGACTAGGGGCTACCAAATAGATTTTAAGACACTTGTCCAAGGGCGAGTGCATGGTCAAAATTCATTTGTTCTACCAGATTTTTTGCCTGTCCCACCATCATGGCCATAAAATAATACTGTATATATTTATATATATTTCAAAAAATAGGAAGACAAATACTGAGTAGATTATGCAAGCCCCTGTATCTAGCTTTATTTCTATGACATACAAATGGATTCATATTTTAAAGGACAGTTGCCCACGGGCATATGGTTGATAAAATTTAACTTGCCCACCCTTATAAATCGCTAGCCCCGGGCGTCGGGCAAAGGGATTTGTCATCCCCTGAAATGACAAATGACAAGGTAAGTGAATTTGCTAGTTTACTAGTTCCATTTTTGATGAAAAAGCAGCTGTCAATGATATCAAAAAGCCTGGACTTTGATTTATAATATTATGAAAAATGATACTGTTTTAAATTTTTGAAAGGCGCGAGACTAAAATTGTTAAAAGTCCTAAAGAAGTTTAAATAAAGTATAAATGAAACA